TTGTATATATAAAAGCAGAAATGTGATGGTCAAGAGGCCAACTCCAATGTAGCTTTGTTGGTTTACTGGCTCGACGTTTCGACCGTCTCAGTCTTCCCCAGGAGCATACTGATTACATGATCAACATTCAAATTTAAAATTCATGTATACATATTATAATATAATATATATATATATATATATATATATAATGTATTATTGACTAAGCCCGAGGTTAAGTGGGCTGGATGTTGGCTGAGTTCTGAATGAAAAAACAAGGCCAATATCCAGCCATCTGGACCAAACAAGCTTATAGTCAACAAAGGATTTATTATATAACAAAATATTTCACTTTTGTAAAAATTTATTATGACTTAATCCGGTGAGAAAGAAAACCAACTGTGTTTGTAGAGAAATAAACCCATGAGGTTTGTTTATGTTTGCTTTCAGTTCTTTGTCAGTGGATATTTGTGGGAGCTACACATAATCTTGCCTCGGCATCCAATCATGTCCAGAGCTCAATTTTCACACCTACGATTGAAATAAAAACATCCATTCCCTCTCCAAGCAAGACTGTCAAACATGGCAACCAGACTGTCATACCTTCATATAACAAAACTGTTAGACCCCACAACATGACTGTCACACCTTCATTTAACAGAACTGTTACACCCCACAACATCACTGTTGCACCTTCATTTAATGGAACTGTTACACCCCACAACATGACTGTCATACCTTCACTTAACAGAACTGTTGTACCCCACAACATGACTGTCACACCTTCCCACATGACAAACACAGTACTCAACAGCAGTGTAATGCCACCTAGTACTGGGTCAATCACACCAACACCTGTGTCCACTGTGTTACAATCATCTTCTGTGCATCCCATACCAACCTTCCTTCCACCAGCACCAGGCAACTTCACACTGAAAGATAATGGTACAGTCTGTTTGTTTGCTTACATGGCAGCAAAATTTGATGTTGCAATCAGTTCAAAGGTATGTACCATTATTATTGATGGAATAGAAGCCAAAAGGTGTATAGTAATGTGAAATATCAAGCTCTCTTTGGATCCTTGGGTATGGGGGAATCCATGTTTACAGTATTTGCCTCATTAGCATAAGCAATTCAGTTTCTGATGGAGCTAAAAATAAATCGGCTCTGAATATCGAAAGGTCAAAGTACGATTAACTCGGCCAATGAATACGAGCCTGATGCATTGAATACTTTTTGTGCAACATGGGTTTAAAAACTCAAAATTTTACATAGAATGTATGAGCTCATTAGCGCTTTTGCCACCCAGAAATTTTGCAGTTTTTGATGGACTATTTCTCCTTGAATATTACACCCAAAGAGCTAAAAATTTCACCATGTACTAAGGTTTTCTAGCTCTTTAGCTGCCTGAAGTCAATTTGTATCTAACATGCTTCCTTCTTTACGCAAAGCCGTATGCAAATGAGCAAAAATGTAAACAATGACGTCAGCATGAATCCGCCTATTGAAAGCCCGAGTTCACGCAGAGATGCGTCTAGTTTAAATTTTAGACTTATGAGATAGAATAAATATATGAAGTTCATATATTTTGAGCTGCGGTATTAGATACGTATGATGCACGATCCTCGCAGTAGATAGCGCTATTTATGCAATAGCGAAAATCAGACCTGAAAAAAATCAGGCCTGTACGGGACTCGAACCACTGACCTCTGCGATACTAGTGCAGCGCTCTACCAATTGAGCTAACAAGCCAACTGGGAGCAGGCCGTTAAGTTGATTCGTAATAAACCCGTGANGGTAAGGTCATTCACGTGCAAGGAAATAACGAAAACATCGGGTTCACGTCATGGAGCGGGTGGACTGTTTGCAGCGCCTCGTGTGGACGCGGTATTCGGACACGTTCACGTTCATGTATCGATATCTTGAACTTGATTGGTGTTGACAATTCGTGTGTGGGACCCAAAGTACAAACAAAGCATTGCCGTGTCCGAAAATGTCCTGGTAAGTATACCCATGAAGCTTGTAAACACCTGGTTAAGAAATTTCCAACGAGTTTCGTGCCCAATCCGGGATCACATAAGAAATGCCTCACAGTATGCTCTGTGGTTTATACAACTCGCTCCACCTTGATTCTTGACTATTCCCGGTTACCTGCGCGTGAGGCCGTCAACATTCATTTGCGCTGAGTTATCATTGGCTTCCTTTGACTTCTCTCTTGTTCAGATTGGCTACGGCCAGACTCGGGTCAGGCCAAATTTTTCCTCGTTGAATAGGGGAATCCTTGTTTACAATATTTGCCTCATTAGCATAAGCAATTCAGTTTCTGATGGAGCTAAAAATAAATCAGTTCTGAATATCGAAAGGTCAAAGTACGATTAACTCGGCCAATGAATACGAGCCTGATGCATTGAATACTTTTTGTGCAACACGGGTTTAAAAACTCAAAATTTTACATAGAATGTATGAGCTCATTAGCGCTTTTGCCACCCAGAAATTTTGCAGTTTTTGATGGACTATTTCTCCTTGAATATTACACCCAAAGAGCTAAAAATTTCACCATGTACTAAGGTTTTCTAGCTCTTTAGCTGCCTGAAGTCAATTTGTATCTAACATGCTTCCTTCTTTACGCAAAGCCGTATGCAAATGAGCAAAAATGTAAACAATGACGTCAGCATGAATCCGCCTATATGCCTTAAAATTGTTATGAAATGAAGACAAATCAGTCAATTGTCAGACCAAAATTCCATATTGACTAAAGCTATATACTCACCGGTTTCCTGGAAAAACCAGTTCAAGGATCACTAGATCAAGGATACATACATACATACTTTACTGATGCTCCCTAAGTGGGTTTTTCAACTCAATAGAATTAAAAACTACAAATATAGAATTTAAGTTTATTAAGGATATAAATACAATAAGATTGAAAATTACAAAAATATATCATCGACCTAGTAAAACATTCACAAAATGATGCCTAAAGTTCTTGGGGCATTTTAAGGATTTATTGTTATCATTTGAAGAGTGCCAGAGTTTGGCTCCTCTGAAAGCAAATGAGCGCTGCTATGTAGACAGGCGACATAAGAGTATATCCAAAGCATAAAGGCTGATAGTTTCTAAAGAAACTGTTAGGGGCTGCGTTGGTGGGGGTAACGAAATAATTTGGATATATCAACAAAGTTGAAATGGTAAATTGGCCACTGTAACGATTACAAAAGCTGGTGTTTCAAGCATTAGCCCTTCGTCAGAGCGAACAGAGGAATTGTGGGTTATGTGTGCATTTAAAGGCAGGAAATGGAGCTACGTTATTGGTGGGAACATGGCAGTGAGAAAAATACAAATAAATTAGTGAATGAAAAGCGTTGGTTGATCCCTGAGGGATTTAGACTGCCGGTTTGAAAGATGAGCTTTTGTTCAAGAGTTTACAGCTTTCCGTGCTACCTAAGTGTAAGGAAAGACTGCAGATTGCCATATGTTGCTTAGAATGGTTAGGTAAATTAAAGTGTCTAGTGGCTGGTTTCGATGTGTCCCTGTCATTCTTTTCCACGTCGCGAAGGTGTTCTCTGAATCAGTCACCTAGTCTTCTGCCTGTTTCACCGATGTATATCGTTTTGCAATAAGTGCAAGTTATGCAATAGATTACATTGGTGGAGGTGCACGTGAAGTGATCGGTGATCTTAATGGATAGTTTGGGTCCCTATATTTTATCAGTGTTGTGAATGAAAGGACACATTTTGCATCATGCACGAGTGCATTTAAAAGTGCCTGGTTGATCATCAGTCTGAAAAGAACTTCTGACCAAAAAATTGCCTATGTTTTTGTCGCGTTTGACAAATTATATCCAAAGCACTAGACGATTGAGTTTGTCTATTATGGACTTGGGAACGTAGTTTGAACATATCAGCAAGATAGTTTGGAACAAGTTTGTTAATACGTTTAGGCATCATAGTAGCATCGAATAAGTTTCTCTCTAATAGGAAGCCATTTCAATGATTGCAGTCCATCTGAAATATGGTCATACTTTCTTAATCCCAGAAAAATTCGTCCAGCGAAATTTTGGACTCTCTGTAACTTGTCAATATTGCTGTTGCTGGTATTAATTCAGACAGTTGATCAATGCTGAAGTTTACTTATAAAAAACAAAGGAATTTATTACTAACAAAAGCATTTTCCTATCCAGGAGATGCATGACTATTACTTTGCATTAAGTTAAAGAGACAACTCGAAGCAGTCTTAGTGATATGTTCATTGTAACTGAGGCATGTGTCAAGAAGAACGCCTAAATCTTTAACAACAGGCACAGGTGTTAATTTTTTATCAAATAGTGTTGTACTGAGTGATGACAGTTTCTTCAAAAGTTGTGGTACTCCAACAGCTAGAACTTTGGTTTTGTCCAGATTGATCAAAAGGGAGTTTTTACAGCACCACCTAGATATTCTCATAAGATCTTCGTTCAAGGCAGAGATAGACGTGGTTAATTTAACAGGTGAAAAGGACAAGTTAGTACAGTTTGCAATCATCAACATAGGAGGCAGAGAGACAATGTTTAGGAACAGAAAGGAGGTCATAAACGTAAATTGTGAATAGAACGGGACCTAAAATAGAACCTTGCAGGACTCCGAACTCAAGTGGGGGTACTTTGGAAACTTTATCACCAATTCAAATGCACTGTTGTACGTTAGAAAGGTACCTCTGAAACCAATCCAATGCACCCTGTGAAAAGTCGAAATTTTGTAGCTTGGATAATAAGATGTCACGTCAAATGCTTTGGACATATCGAAAAAGACAATGATGGAGAGTTTCTTGCTATCCATAGGCTGAAGTAATTAATTGATCAGTAATGTACAACAAAGCTGTTTCTGTTGAGTGAAGTTTTCTGTTTCCACTCTGATGTACTGCTGATTTTTATTGTTTTTTAATTAGATACTCCTTAAGTTGTCCATGTACTAGCCTTTCAGTAATTTTCAAGACAATTGGCAATAATGAGAGACATCTGGGTTGCTGCATTTAAGAATAGGTGT